TCCCGCCCCCCTCGCCGGGTGCGCGGCCCCTTCCCCCGAAGCCGCCCCGGTGCAACGAGGGGGCCCGTGAAAAACCAGACCGAGCCACAAGAAACCCCATTTCCCAGGGGACGAGGGGCAGGAGATCGTTGGAACCAGGAGACATGGGTTGCAGGCGAGTTTGGACGGCTGAGTGCAGACACGAATGATAATCTGAGGGTTTGCAGGGGTGATTCTCTGTCCTGGTGCCCCCGGGCTGCAGTGGGGCTAAAGCTCCCAGCATGGAGACTTCCTGAACGCTCTCCATCAAAGCAGCCCCACCTTTGGCCCCCTAAGCATTCAGATACATTACTCCTAAACCTGGAGGCTTCCCTTCACCCCTGGAGCTAACAGCCAGAGATCCAACGTCACGCAACTCCTTTTTTAAAGCCATTTAAAACTGTAATCCTAACCTAGGGCGAGAATAACTGCTGGGAGTCAGGCAGGCGGCATATACATTTAATAAATGAATAAAGCAGCTTCAGGGGGCAAATACCTTCCTCCAGTGGCATCTATCTGTCTCAGTTAAAGACAGATCTTCTGTTTGCTGCTCTGAATGTGATTACTGTCCATCCTATATAATTTATAGTTGACATGGAGCCCTAGTTTGTTTTTTGTTTTTACCTTAAGGAACTGAACATTTGGCATCCAGGTCCCTTAAACTTGGCTAAGAACCCATTTCCTTGCAGGACACCACTTACTGGAAGCCTTGGTTCTTATGTAGTACACATTTAAAACAAACAGGGCTTCCAATCTCTCTTCTTTAAGTAATCCTTCGGGTCTGCTCGGGTCCAAGACCCACCCGCAACCACCCTTACACGGATCTGGATTCTATTGTAAAACCAGTTTGAGAGTTTTAAAATAAGCTGTATCTAAATATTTTAAAATAATGTTAACTGCAGGAAAACTCCATCACAGCACAAGCTTGTCAGGGTATTAAGGGGGAGAGTTTTATTGGGATTTGATTATGGGGGCGGAGAGCTATTTATGGGTTATGGAGTTAAAGGGAATTTCTCATAAAAGTGGTAGGAAGATAGAGGGAGGTTCTACACAGCTCAGGAACGACAGGTGAGATTTAAGAAATGCATTTATTTTTCTCTCTTTGGCTGTGCATTTCCAATCCTTGTTGAGAAGGTTATACAAAATGCTCTCAATTTAAAACATTTGGCACATCCAAACTTGCTAATAGGACCATCCTGTCTTGGTGCTTTCTCTTAAATTTTGAAAAATGTTTTGGGAGACTGTAGCCCTGAAACACCCCACTGTAAAATAATACTTCATAAACACAACCCAAATGGGGACAAATTTCTCTCTCGTTGCTTTTCTCTGATAGTTCGTAGTTAGTCTATGCCTTCCAAGTGATTCAGTATTGCCTCTTTACCTCAGGCCTTTAAGAAATAAAAAAAAATCTTTCCCGCTTTAAATAAAGTTTCTTTACTGCTGCCTTTCCTTAAGAGCAGAAATAATGTACAATTCACAAAGTTGTCCCATAGCAGCTTTACATTTATCTAGCATCACACAAACCTGTTCCTTAGAAAAGCCTCCTTATTTTCTGAATCGATCAATACTTCCAAGAGACAAGCCTTTCTCCTTTTTATGATTTGGAAACCCCAACCTCAGCAAACAAGGAAGGAATCACAGCTTCCCAATTTGTCATCCAACCCTGTACAAGTCAAGAGGGACTGGCGGGGGGGGGGATCAAGGAGGGCTGTGGGGAGCAATGATGAAATCAGCTTGGACATAAAGCAATGCTCATTCATTTTCACAAAAACTTCAGATCTGGTGGATGCTACTGAAACAGCCAAAATCATTAAAAGTGGGGAATGTGCTACCTAAGATGGTGAGGACAGATCTTTGGACAGAACTAAGCAGCTAAAATAGAAGACAGAGGGGGAAGGAGAATTTCAACAACTTTTCCGCCTCCTTTTCATAAGCTCTTGTTCCTGTAAGATCCTGGAGATGAAGCGTGTGCTAATTCCTGCTCGTCCAGCGTCAGAACTCAAAGCGAGCATGGGAATGATCAAAGAGGATAAAGAACCTTTCCCACTGGGAATGGGACAGTGTGTCTTCGTCTTTCCTCCCTTGATCAGTGCACCAAAGATGTTTCCCATGTAGCAAACCCACGTCCGTTAAGAAACCCATGAGGTGAGAGTTTGCCAGCTCTGGGTTAAAAAAGGTAGAGGTGGTACCTCTCGCCATGATCAAGATTTAGCCTTTCTCATCTTCTGCTTTTTGAAGGTCCGGTCCTTGGGGGGTTTCTCACTCCCGGCCCTGGAGCCAAGATCTGGATCTACTTTCCGCTTAGGGGTGACGACTTCCATGGAGTTCCAAATCTCGTCGTCTTCCTCTTCCTCTTCCTCTTTCACCTCATCCTGGAGGTCAGTTGATGGCTCGAGGCCCTTGCTCTGCAAAAAAGGAGAGAAACACATCAGGGGGGAATTGGGTTGTAGCGTTCAAATCCCTGTAAGCCTCACTGGTTGGTTGGAAGCAATAATGGAGCTGAGGACTACAAAAAATTGCTCTGCTTGAAAGCACCCAACATCTCACTCCGAAACAGAAACAGACTTTGTAGAGCTATTCTTCAGCTTCAAATGTCATGGAAAGCCACAGATTATTCAACAAACCATAATTAATGCAACCTGCACAGTATGGTATATTATAAACCATGGTTTATAAACCACTACAGTGTTGCTTGAACCAATCCCCTTCCCACATTCCTGAAAACTCACCTCCCATTTCTCCCGGCTGGTCAGCAAAAGGCAGTTCAATCGGGATTTTAGATAAACCTGGAATCAATACAGACTTAGTAAGAAATAAAAAGAAAGGGAATAAATCACGGAAGTCACTGATTTATCTATTTTTTTTATCCTTTGTGAAGACTGCCCATTTGTTGTTCAAAGAAAACACAGCAGAGTTGGTCCAAATGCGGGAAAAGTGATTGACACCCGGGGCAGAAACAGTCAGAAGAATTTGTAGCTGCTGCTGGGGACCTTTACACTGCAATTCTCCCACGTGGAAAAGTTTGCCGAGCTGAGACTTGCTTTCTGCCAGACGAGGTCACCATGGCTGGCTGACTAGCAAAGAGCAGGGATTCCCCAGAGTTTAAAGATTTCCAAGAGGCATCCTTATTTGCCCACAGTGGTACTTAAAATAAAGGTTGGCATTCCACATTAAATATTACTACGCAGGGCATTTCGGAGAACCTGCGTCCAGTTTTCCTGGAGATCTGGAAGTCCTTTGACCACTTTGAGATGCGTACAATGCTTCTCAGCACAGAGGTATCTCTGATCAGGTTAGGCTGGCTGGGGAATTCTGGGAGTTGAAGTCTGCACATCTTAAAGTTGCCAAGGTTGAGATATACTGGGTTAGACAACCTGTGGCTCACACAGCCCCCACCTCCTATCCCTTTGGGGTGGTCCCCAAAGCTCCAGATTGCGCTCCCAAATCCCCAGTTCTCAGGACTGCCCTCACCTTATGCTCTAAACACTTGCTGTGGAGGTTGTGCAGCCGAAGGAAACGGTCCAACCCGCACGAGGCGACCACTGGAAGCGTCGGGTGACACTGGATGGCACGGACACTCCCAGCAAAGCCCTTCAGGCACTTCACCAAACGCCCTGTTGCAGAGAGAGAGGTCGCAACATTGAGTCACCAGGGTTACATCTTCTCCGAGGAGTACATATGACTAGCCATTGCCCAGGAGTACAATTGGACAGACTCAACCATAGTTTCAACTGGGAAACTGTCAGCATCTTAGACCAAGCTAAATACAAAAATGCGAGGGAATTCCTGGCATTCAGACAAGTCAGTCATCGATAGACACAGAGATACATCACATTTACACACCATTCAAAACCCTGGCAGGGCAAGCTACTGTATATAAACAGGGATCAAACCCCACACTCACTACACTGATAATGTTACCTAGTTGGGTAATGAAACGTCTGCAAGCAAACAACCAAGCTCAGAGAGCACCAAGGACTCTACAGTTTGCCACTGCATTGCTCAGTTGAATTTGTGGTCGTGTTTTTAGCCCCCGGGCTGGCAAGGTAGAAATCGAGATGTGCCAAGATTTGACCTGATCTGGTTTGGTTTTAGTGTGCCGCCCACCTCACAGCAGGGATTCTGAGCCGCATGCAAAGGATCAAAACCGAAAATACAATATACAAAATAAACAATCCAATTACTAAGCCAAAATAAGGAGAACAGCATAACCCACATCTGGGTCTAAAACCATTCCGTTTTCAATCCAAAACAGAACTGCTGTCACCTCATCCCTTTCTTCTTAATAAATCTTGTTAAAGAAAACTCTGTGGGAATCATGCTCAGAACAGGCATTGCTAAGACTAAGAGTGAGACTCAGTACGCATTTCAAATTCTCTTTTGAACTAAATCCTTTTCCTTCTTCTCCAGTCTTACCTTGCCGCAGATCTATAACCGCAACGTCCCCACGGGAACTACCAACAACAGCAGCGCTGTAAGGAAAAATAAGTAAGAATTAGTCTGTGTGTTTTGTCTTTTTAAAATCTTGCTTTGCAATCGAAAATCACCAAGGAAGCATGCAAGAACCAGAGCTGTTAGACCTTGTATACAGTATGGTTTTTATTCAAAAAGATCTTTGATTCCTTCTTTGGAAGAAAATCTTAATTAAATTAACATCCTTCAATATCAAGAATAACTTCCTACATCTGATACAGAGTTTAATTCTAGTTGGAAACCATGCTTGGATTGTAATGATATACGCTTTTGCACCACATCAGAGACTTGGGTTTTCTTTTCCATAGAATCCTATTTCTACTTGAACTATAATTTCCAGTATTGATTTAATTCATTAATTATTTCAATTATTTGCTGTTTATAGTTTTGTTAATGATTTGTACTGCGTTAACTAAATATATGCAATTTGAAGTTCAGCGCTAACTATCTGCATCTTATCTTTTGTGTTCTGATTTTTTTTTTAATCTTTCTCTTTTACTAGCACATTTTTCATTTATATTTTCTTATTTTTTTAAAAAAGAACTTCTACTCCGTAAGAAAAACGTGCCCCTGCTTGTATAACCGCCTTCTCCAAAAGTCCTATTTCAAGGAGAGAAAAGAGACTCACTTTGCATCGGAGGTGAGTGAGAGAGCTGTAAGCGGGTACTCGCCAAAGGTAACCTCCAAGACGGGACGGCGTTGGGGACAGCTGGGATCGTAGAGCCGGACCTGGATGCAGAAGACCAAGAGTTGGAAGTAGGTTGAACTCTTGCACAAACACCATGACAGGATGCAATAATTAAAATAAATGAAATGCCATCATGGCACAATAGCTAGAGGGCGGTTGCCCTGCCTCACAAGGGGGTGCCTTCTCCCCATTTTCCCAACTCCTTCTTCCCTCTCCCCTTCCCCTCCAATTCCCCTTCCTTCCTTCCCCCCTCCCTCCCTTTCTAATTCTCCTTCCTCCTCTCCACCCCAGTTTTCTTTTATGGAGTCCTGCAACACTTCTTCGGCGTCTCGTCAAGCCCACGGAAATGGCCGCCAAGCCAGACCCTTGCAGCCACCTGCCTGGCCAGGGCTCCCGGCTCTGTCCCCCTTTCCTCCACTCTGGGCTGCTCCACGGCCTTCCTCTCCCTGCAAGCTGGCCGC